TTCATTCATATACCTGTAATAAATGCATATAAAGTACATCTCTAGACTACATTTGAAAATACACTGTTAGAAGTCCCTCATGGCCTTACCAGCTTCTGTAATGAAGGATAGCAACTGCCACAAGGGATGGCGTATGTGTGTTTTTGTTGTTTATAAACATCAAGATCTCATTGATGACTGTTCTAGTACTAAATTAAAGTTTCCTTTCAAGTTCCAGGCAAGTTCAAAGAAAGGAGTCAGTCGCCTGGACAAACAGATGCGGAAGTTCACAGACATCAGGAAAAAAAGCAGAACGTCCCATGCTGTGAAAATCAGCATTGAAGGCAATAAAATGCCATTGTGACCCTCCCCAGAATCACCTTTGATGTTTCCTGTATAGACTCTCAGAAGATGTCTACATTTTTAAACAAACAAACTTTGGGTTTTTTAAGCGCATCTTCAAATTGTTGGTTCAGCTGATTGTAATACATGTTGATTGAGGGTTATGAACCCTGGGACATTGTTCATTATGATTTTATTTAACCCTGACCTCTCGTCTCCTTTGTACAGATAAAACCTTGTATTGCTGCAAATCTCATACATTAAAATCTGTTTCTGAGGTGGGGGTTGTGTGATGTTTTTTGAACTGAATGTGTATTTAGAAGCTTTACCATTCTGAAGCCTCAAAGCATACAGGAGCTGTGATTACATTATATTTTTATAATTAGAGTGTGTTTGTCCTCTGTTTACATACATAGATTTCTGTTAACTGACCAAATAACAGTATGATAAGTCATCTTTTTCTTCAAAAAGCTACCGGTTGAACTTTGGACTTACTGAGAGCAAATATATCACATTTTAGAAGAGAAAGAACACATTAAACATTTAATATGCTTATGGGTTTTAAGAATCTTCTGAAGCCATGTAATCTGTGTCTTCCATAAATGCATAGTCATTCATTTAATGCTCATCACAGAATGAATGCATATGAGTAACAATTCTTGTAAGTCATATGAAATTATTATTATTATTATTATTATTAAAAACGGAACCATCTGGCAGTCATTAGTATGCTTAGAATCACAATAGAAATATGTGGATTCATTGAAATCCCCGCAACCTGTTTTGCTGTCTGTTGGCGTTCTGCTGGGCTGATGCTCAGAATTAGGCATCCACTTATAAGAACAATGAAGACAGAGAGAAAAGGAATATGCTGTTTATTAAGAATGACTATGAATTTAAACACAACCTGTTTTAAGACTTAACAGCTTAGAACTACCACAGATATTAGTGATAAGATAAAATAAGTACAATATATGCCATTTATCTTTCTTTGAGTACAGTAGGAGGGTGCTACACACAGGAAAATAAGGGATGGAAAAGATGGGAAGATAATCCAAACAAGGTGTCAGTTCTATAAAAGAATTTAGAGTTATATGAGTACTGGAAAAAAGTATAGCCTACAGTAAGGTTTAAGAGCAAATCTTAACTATTGGGAATGCAATACTGGTGGCAGAAAAAGCCATATCTTGGCTATAAGTGCATGCCAAATAAAAATACTAGTCACACTTTGGGGCGGGGGGGTGCCTTCCAGTCAGTGTTGTCTCCTAGCGACTGCCTGGACAGGCCCCTGCAGTTTTCTTGGCAAGGTTTTTCAGAAGCAGTTTGCTACTGCCTCCTTCCTGGGCTGAGAATGAGTGATTGACCCAAGGTCACTCAGCTGGCTTTGTGCCTAAGGTGGGACTAGGACATGGTGTCCCAGTTTCTAGCCTGGTGCCTTTAACCACTACACCAAATTGGCTCTTCAGTACACTACCCGCCTGTAATCATTAAAGAATATGATGTGAGGAGGATCAGCTGGCATATGTTCTCCAACCCTTTTCCACTTAACAACCTCTACAAAGTAATTGGAAATTCATCAGCAATGTATAATTGTACTATAGGTGGATGAAACATGCTGTTCAATGATTTGAGTGATCAGGGGCCCTGACAGAAAGTTCCTGGTTCCCCAATCTATATCCAGATTTATTTGCAATTGTCTTTAGTTTTGTAGATGCTGCTTTATGGTTTGGTTATAAAATGCCTAAAGGATCTTTCTCCTTTGCTAAAATGTCCTTGAAGATTGCAAAGCCATTGTAATCATTTTCAGAACAGCACTTTCCTAACAGGAATCTAGGGAGCAGCTAGATTCTAATATGTGAGAGATAAATAGGGCTTTTAAAATAAAAGGGTGGTGCAAAGAGGAATAGGATGCAAAAAAAAGGGGGGGGGTGTCTTCTAGGGATTGGAAAAGAAACCTGTTGCTTTCTGCAGTCATTTGTAGTTTACAGTTCTAATAATTAAAATGAAGAAATGTGTGTTCATTCACAGGGTCTCATCTGTTCAGTTGTAGTAATGCTCAAAAGCTTCAAAATGTTAGGGCTCACATGCCATGACTATGACTGACTCTGATCCAGTCCTGACTATATTTGGGAGTATGACTTGAGGAATGCAAAACATTCCTTTCTTGAGATCTCTCCCCTCACCATTTGCTTAAATTAAGTAAAGGATGATGTTCTGTAGGCCTATTTTCCATGTTGGAAGAGGCGCTTGTTCTTGTAGCTCAGACACATGCACCTGATTGGCTTGAGGCTGCACCGGGCTTCGTGGGGCATGTTGGTGGCTGAATTCCAAAAGCAGGAGGGGCCGTGGGCGTCTGGGGGAGCAAGTGGCCAAACCTCCCTGACAATGGCATCATGCAAACGCCACAACTGATGTGCATCAGATGCCAGAATGCAAGTACATAAGGGTGGCATTTGAGTGATGTCATCCTGCACATGTCATTCTGGCATCCTTGTGGCTTGCTGCTGGCACTACTATTCTGACCTGAAGTTAAGAATTCTTACACCTCTGAGGCAGAAATGCCTACCCTTAGGCATACTGCTTCAAGAGTAATCATGTGAACCATAATTTATTAAAGTTTAATTAAGGTAATGGAATAGAATTAAATGATTGTCTAACCCTTTCTTTCACCTGGCCTGCCCACTTTATGGAATGCAATCCACCGCACACCGTTCAAAAACTGAGTGCAGCTCTGTGGCTGTTGCTCCCTCCAAAGTCAGCATGTCTCTCAATACTACTCACCAGAGACCAAGTGACTGGGGAAGAGCCATAGCCATGGACATCCAAGGGTGGGGGTGGGGGCAATATCCCTTTGGTACTTACATGTGATCTCTATGGGAGGGGTTTCAAGAGTTTTGGCATTCCTGTTGTGGAAGTTCCTAGTAGGAAGCATTGGGGTGCACTGTCTCTGTTTCAGCTAACCAGTGCATTCCCTTTGGAAAATTATAATGCAATTTAGAATCTGAAGCCTATGCCTTGTATAATCTTTAGGAGATAATCTTTAGGAGATACAAATATTCTGCTCCATGGGGGAGGGGAGGTTGACCTGGGGATGTTCTTTGATTTCCCCCTGCCCCCATCAAAGAATTGCAGGAAAGCATAGTTATGATGTGGTTGTTGAAACACTTTGGGGGAGTGTGAAGGAAACAAATGTGTTAACAGCTGCAAAATATTTGCAGACCTATTTTCCATGTTTTGGGAACAAATCTGTCCAGGTTGGTGGACAGATTTGTTCCCAAAACATGGAAAATAGGTCTGCAAACATTTTGCAGCTGTTAACACACTTGTTTCCTATTAAATTCTGCACTGCGGAATGACCATGTTCTGCCACCAAAATTTGCCAGCACAATCTGGGGGTGGAGATGGAGACCCCAAATAGGGCAGTGTGCTTACCTGAACATTGCCTGCAATTCTTACTTTCAAAAGATATCATACCATTTTAATATTTTTTAAAGGTTTTGTTTGACTCTATTTCACTGGCTGCTTTAGATCCCTTTTTGCTCCTTGGATTGTTGCAATCACTGAGTTAGGTCATTATTTAGATGTACGGAAATGAATTGACAGAAGCAGATTCTGCATCCACCATTCTGAAAATATTCCTGGCAGACAACTAACCAGGTCAGTTAAAAACTTGCTGCTGCACAACTTGTGGCTTTTTTTTTTGCCAACACAAAAACACTATCCGAGATTAACAGTAACCAAACATGGCAAGTTGTGCAGCTGTAGGTTTTTCATCTGTTTGGTTATTTTATGATTCAAATGTATTTTGGGAATCCAAGAGAATGGTTTAATTCAATAACCAAATTATGCACGTTTGTATGAACACAAGTTGAATGTTTAGCTCTTCCTTTTCCCCATAGCCTACTGCACAACACAATGGCATTGGTGGAGGTGGGGGAGGCTTCAAGGGAGTTGAATGATGAAAGCAGAGTTGTAGGATCACTCTGCAAGCCCCACCCCTTTTTTTACACATAACCTGATCTTGCTCACACATATGGAAGAGGTGGAGCTTGTGGCGTGACACTGTGATGCTATTTTTGTCAATACCTGTAAAGTATTTTGCAAGAGTTGAAGAACCACCTTGGGAAGGAGGTGCTGAGGCATGTTTCTACCTATCCAGTTGCTTATGCTTACATCTGGATCAGATGCTGAGGTACAGATTTCTAGAACAGTTCTGTTTCTGCCCAAAGAAAATGGCAACTTAATTGGTTACTGGAGTTAAGAGTAGCAATAGGATACCGGCCTGCAATGTGATCTGGCTAACCAAGTTGTTAAATATTACCAAATGCACAAAAATTATATTTTAGACCAGTGTTGTCCAAACTTGGCCACTTTAAGATGAGTGGACTTCAACTTCCAGAAT